AGGTTCAAGCGATTCTCCTGCCTCAGCCTCCCGAGTAACTGGGACTACAGGCACGCGACACCACGCCCAGCTAATTTTTGTATTTTTAGTAGAGACAGGGTTCACCATATTGGCCAGTCTGGTCTCAGACTCCTGACCTCGTGATCTGCCCATCTCAGCCTCCTAGAGTACTGGGGTTACAGGCATGAGCCAATGCACCGGGCTGGGTTGTCTTCTTCTTATTGAATTGTAAGATATCTTTATGTATTCTCTATAAAAGCTATTTATCCAACATATATCTTGAAAATATTTTTTAACTAGTCTATTTTATTTTCATTTTTAATGGTGTCTTTTGAATCACCATTTTAAAAATGTTTTAACTAAATATTAAATAGATATAAAATAATATACTACATATAAAAAGTACAAAATATCCTCATTATTGGTGAATAATAATTTTCTTTTGAGAAAAAAATCGTGTTCTGATTTTATTATTGACACACTTTTTCTCAAATATGACTTGAAATTTTGTCTCGAGTACCAGTTTTCTGTTAATCATTACCATAATTAGTATTATTAGTAACATAAAGAAGTTTGTTAGTATGTTTACTTCACTTTAAAGGAGCTGTAAAAGGCAGAAACATTTGAATAAGTTATGTATTAAGTTTTTCACCAATGTTTTGACAAGTAAAAAATGTAATTACATAAGTTAAGGAAAGCCACTCTCCCAATAATACCTCCCATCTCTACCCTCACTGCCTTCACCTCAGAAAAGCCGGGTCTGCTTGGGACAGGTTTAAAAGGGCACTAAGGAAAAGAAGATTGTGGCTTACCGAATTGCTTTACAACTAGATTTGGAGTTTGGCTACCCGTGCTCTAAACTTGGACATGACTGTAAAATTCTATGCCAAATAATATTTTGCAGTATTAACTGTGCATTTGTTATAACATTTATATTAAGCTTACTTACTGTTTTTCCCAGTGATTCTTACTGCTTGAGTTTTATAGATGTCTTCATTGTTTAGACTCTGAATTAGCTTACATTCCTAAGTAGAACTGTGTATAAATTCACTGCAATTTAAATGCAAATATAGTTTAGAGTTGAGTATTTATGTATCTGGTCACATTAATTCATAATTAGGAAAGATACTTGATTTTACATATATGTGCCTTTATGAAAGAATTTAATACCTCATTCATTCATTCAAAAATATTTATTTTACATCTCTGATGAACAAAGTTTCCTTACAATACAGTCTATATTGATTTATTTTGCAATTTCTTTTTAACTTTCTACAAGTGACTAAATTGTTAGTATGGTATCTTATGTATTGGTTAGCATGTTGTCACATAAGGGTTTCATCTCCCTCCTCTTTTTGGTTTACCTCTTCAAGCCCACAGATTTTATGCAATGATTGCAGCTCATGAAATGCATACTACTTTGATCTGTGACCTTTTTGTGGTGCTAATCGGGTTCCTGATATCATTATACCTTACTCATTAATCATATTTCCTGCAGCCCATCAGGCAGCCAGACAGCACAAGTCCCTGTTTTCAGCCCTCTGTTGGCAGGTTTCTGCTTTTCCAGATTATTACAGACGATACTTCGGCTTCTCATAGCCAGAGCCGTATCAAGCTGTGTGTTACAATTAAAGTCAGATGGTCCTCAGGTTGAACAGGGATATAGTGTTGCAGCTGTCCCTCTTCCTGGAACAAACCAGCACCAAGAACAGATGATCTATAGGACAGTGAATAATAACAGATTGTACAGTACTCGGTTGATAGCAGGGGATCAGAGAATTAATTAACTGTCATACTCATTTTAAGATACCCAGCATGTCTTTTTTAAGTATTTGATTGTTACTTCAAGAGGATAGGATATTTTTAGGAGCGTGATCTTGGTAGTGAACCAGTAATGCTACATTCTCTATATTAGAGGATGTTAACTACTGTCTTACCCAATGGCTTTCATCCTCAGAGTTTTCTTGCAAGTAATGAAGATCTAAATGTACGATTGGAAAATTGGTTAAGTGGATGGGCTTATGAACAGAAGATAATATCCTACATGTTTTAGAAGGAAAACTCACCTAAATTTTATTAGTTTTTTTCAGAGAAATAAATTATATTCTGTTTGTTCTGAACAGTTGGAATCGGGGTAAAACCAAAGCAGTCTTAATTATATTCCTGAGATTGGTCCATGTTATCTAATATTACCTGAACTATGAAAAAAATTATTTCAGATACTGCATCAGAAATATAAATGAGAAACAGGCTTTCATACTTTCAAATAATAGAAGAATTTATGAGTTAAGAATGCCCATCATCTGTCTCTTATGATACAATGTCAGTGTTTAGACCTATATATTATACTGCCTCTTATAACCTTCAAGTTTCATATTGAATAAGAGACAAAGAAGACCATACTCTGGGCAGAATTTCTAAAAGACGGCCTTTGAAAGTAGAACATTTTGTTTTAGCTGAAGGATGCATAATTGATTCAAATTATAATAGTTCATTCATCTACCATGTATTTATTGAGTGCGTGCTTATGGACCACCACTGTTAGACTCAATGAATAAGATAGACAATATCCGTATTCTTTTGGGGATGCCTTCTCTTTGATAACTTGTTGAAATAGAAGGCTTATCAAGGCCTAAAGGTGGCATGAATCTAGCAAAGGAAGTGTTCTCTTGATGAATTGTCCTAAGGTTACCAGCTAGAATCACATTTACTTTTGTGTATCTTCCATAGCTTTTGTCTCCTCTACTGTTTCATACTGGTGACAAATAGTACTC